AAGGAACGCGTCTCAATGGATATTCAGCTGACAATCTTATGTAAGTTTATCTATATGCATCTAACTCTTAAACCAGCTGAGTGGCCAGACAAGAAGCCCGATTAGAACCGTTTTACTTGCTTTAAAGTGTATTAAATATTCATTTAATTTCCATTAAAGCACCCCCAGAAATAACGGTGGAGAAAGCATGGGTGCATGCCGCCGAAGGATATGATATAGAGCTCGTTTGTGTGGTTCACGGGGATGTCAACTCTGAAGTAAGTTGTACCATGTATAATTTATGTTATATTTAAAAAAAAAACTCTTGTTTCAATTGACTAGATGCTATGGTATCAAAACTCTTTCCTATTGGATCCAACTGACCGGCGTTCCATGTATCCGCATGATGACAGATACAGTCTTATTATTCGAAATTTTCAACAAACTGACTTTGGGAATTACAGTTGCGTTGCCGATAATGCTTTAGGAAGAACGAAGAAATATATTGAGGTCTCGGGGCGTCCGGGGCCAGCTGATTTTATTTCGCCAGCTCTAAGTGGCTTTCTCGATCATTACAACTTGACTTGGACAATAGAGTCAATACCGCCCTTGGATGAAATAAAACTTTTGTATCGACGGCTCTTGGTAATATTCAAAATCCCGCCCTGATATATGCAATGAGATGTATATATGCTTGTATAAAATATTGCAGATGAATGAAACATACCAACATCCTGGTAAATGGCATGAATATCATATTAAGCCTATCCCGATCCGGACAGACGGCACACATTTCCTAATGTCCTACGTTGTAAGAAATTTGGAACATAATGCTGTCTACGAAGCAATTGTTCAAGCCAAAAACAAATACGGATGGAATGAGGTGAGTACACAACTTTTCCATTTCCATGCCGAAGTTGGATAATAAGACTTCAATGTATGGTTGGGTAATAAAAGTGTGAAATCTGAAAGGTTAAGGTTAAACAAGGTTAATAACAATAACAATTTTAATAAAAAATATAATTTAATCTTAATAATATTAATACTATTCGGAGAATAAACTTATAAATAAGCAAAATAAAATAATCCTTTTAGATCAGCGACATTCATCAGTTTTATACTCGAAATCATGATCTTCTTCTCGACATCGATATGGAATACAAGATGGGAATTTCCAGTTGCAATCGATTATCAATGACCATGGATGTAATAATATTACCCTATGTTATTTTAATATTAGCATTTAAAATTATTATTTAAGAAATGTTTACTTATTTGCAAATATAAGTTCAAAGGTGCCTTACTATGTATTTAGAATATGTACATATTTATAAAATTGAGTAGATATTAAAAATTATGTTCATATAAGAAGTATAAAATAACAAATTTCAATTGTTACGCTATTTATGATTCCAATTTTATTTTATTTACTAAAAACAAAAAGTAAAAAAAAAAGTGTATCACAAAATAGATTCATCAAGTTATGTAAATACGAATAAGCATTAAAATATATTAATAATATTCATTTGATTTTAACTGAATCATTAGAATTGTTTTTGTTAATATATTTATATATCAGTCTATGCTTTAAAAAGAAAAAAAGGAAATCATAAACATTAGAAGGTTATTAAATTCTCTAAGTGTAAATTTATAAATATAACTAATCAATAATTTTAATATTATTATATCAGTAGATTTGATATATAAAAAAACTTGGCTTTTTTTAAAACAAGATATAATTATCCCACAGTGCCCACAGGCATTTATGTTAGATTAAAACAAACAGCCTAGACTGGTTGGTAGATCGAGTATAATAAGCAAAATGTTTTAGTCGCAGCAAATTAATTTCAATGATAGGCAATATCAACAAAAATGTACCTCTTAGAGTCAGTCAAGCTCTCATTTTCAGTGTAATCTAAATTTTAGAACGCAAACTAAACAACCAAATAGTATGCAAACTTAAATTTACTTTATGGTCTATACATTTATTTAAATAATATTATACGTAATTTTACTTTACAATTTTAACATCACACTATCACCATGCTTAATAATTTTACTAAAGATTTATAGACTATAAATTAAATTAATTTAATGCATTTACATATGTGCAATAAATCGATTTGCTTTAGTCCGACATTTTTCCAATTCTATAATTTTCATAAATTTTCTGTTACTTAAAAGTAAGCTCTATCGAGTATGCTAGACTAAGAGATATCTCATTTGGTCGTGTAAAAGTCCCAAATAAATATGAATATAATAATATATACAAGTATGCATATGTGGGCCATCTTGTTTCACCTGTTTCCACGAGTAAAATACAGACATGTTGTACGTAAAAAGTATTAAAACTCCGTTAAAATGGAAATAGCCTAAGTCGAAATCAAAAGCATGATATTTTCTAAACAATTCAAGGTAAATCGGAAATTGTACTGAAATTGAGAGTAAAACTAATTAAATATAAATATTTGCCTTATGCTGCTGACACACTGCCGCAATAAGCCAAACACTAGTTAACGCTAAGACAGACATTGTGTATTGTACGAGATTAACTTCTATCCTTAATTATCCAGTCATCATTCGTTTGTTCTACCTTTGCGTCAGTGTTCAGGCAGCATTTTATGCACCTGTTAAATTTATTTCTATAATGGAACTACATAGTAAATATACGCATGTATATGATATGATTTTATTGTAAGTTGAAAAGTTGTACAGGTGTCCAGCAATTTAGGCAGCCCTTTAGAAACATTACTGTTTATGTGACCATATATAATATATCATATAAAGAACAATCTATGCATAAGAATATTCACTTAGAACATCAAACTAGTAAAAGGTTCAGAGATAAAACTCAAAGAAGACAAACGCAAAATATAAAGTGACATTGAGTTTGATGTCCAATATACGAATTATCGAAAATATAACAGAATTAGACGTTGACACCAAGGAGTATTCGTCCTTAAGGGGAGCAAAAACAGATGAATCATCTGATTCGGCTCACACTGTACATAGACATTTTCAAAAACAAAGACCCAGAAATCGGTAGTATAATTAAAACAACCCGAATAAATATAAAATCGACACAAAATTTGAATCAAATAAATAACACATTTATAAAAGAATAAAATATTATATCAAAGATATTATGATATTGTGTATGTATGTATTCAATCGAATTAATAATGCAAGATACAGTGAAATTTGGTTTATAAGTATTCGGTCTAAGACATTCTTCAAATGCAAACCAAATTCAATACATATATTTCTTAAAAAACTTTCCATTAATTTTTGATAAACTATTTGAAATTAGTTTAGTATAGAATAAAGCCAATAATTTTCTTTTTCTGGGGGACCTAATCCACCAAAAATGATGTCCAGCATTAGATAGTGTTACATTTGTTATAAATCTATGCTTCTTTTAAGTTTAAACATAATTTTTTTAAACCATTATTTTTTTTGCCATTCCTTATCTACATAAACATAAAGACCTTTTTTTACTAATCACATTTCCATTTTAATATAATTATTTCAATCTGTGGACATTTGCCATAGCCTTTGCACACTTTACAACACTGCTCAAGAATACATACATACATAGGTATTAACGTATTTGCATACTCGAATGTATAGAAATATACTAATAATAAATATGCACAAGTCTTTTTTTCAGTGTGATCGAGAATTATAAATTATATCTAAATTGAGGGCATGTTATTATTTTTATATCCAGAAGACATTAACATAAAACTATATTTGGCAACGAACAAATTTGCACACTTGCTCGATCGCGTTAAAAAAAATAAGGGAAAAATAATTTTTTTGGCTTACAAAATAATTTGTAAGAAAGGGGGCTTGCAAAATAATATTCCATTTACCATTAATATACGTATTTAATCTAACAGCAAGCCACCAGAGCACATATGTAGGCAATTAAGGGCCACGGAAATGATAGTCGTGCGTCTTAAATTCACAGAAAAAAAAAGAAAATTTTCAATTGTATTCCCTAGTTTAAACTTGCAATTGTAAACTTAATGTATGACATGCAGTACGCAAATTAATTAAGGCAATTTGTAGAAACCGTCAATATAGCATATTTGAATAAAATTTTAATAGTCTAGGCTTAAAATTTGTATAACTAAGAGAATATAGATACAATATAGATTACATTAGCATAGCTCATTTGAACATGGCGAAGAGAGAGCGATTTTAGCAACTTATGTATCTAGGTACATTCTTTATTTCAATGATATTTGTGTACATTGTGTTTAACCATAGTCTGATCTAGTCATCGATCTCAATGTAAATTATTCCGTAAATAAAATAAAAAATAATTTAAAAACAATAGCTGTACGTACTTATTAATTGTATTATATAAGTACCATTTACTTATAAGCTGATAATTAAATTGTCCGTCTGATTCCTAAAAACTATATTAACCAATAATTAATTTAATTAGAAATACACACGAATAGTCGTAAGCAAATAAAAAAAAACGATCGCTACCCATATAAATATCTTAAGCAATGTCTTAATAGTTCATATACTTCATATAATTAAGGCACGGAATAAATTTACTTACACTAGCAAATAAATAGCCAAAACACATATAAAAACATTAAATACAACTGCTAGAATAATGTCGATGTAAATGTTTGATAAATAAAAATCATATCATTTTAACAAGCAATAATCAGGGTCTATTTAATATTAATAATATGTATAATTTAATGTATAAGTTAATGAATGGGGCTTTATCCATAATTTAAAATTTCTAACTTCTAACTTAGAAGAAATCTTGCCCCTGGATCTAACAATTAAAATCTTGTGGAGAATTTTACTACTGAGTGGGATGCCATTTTCTACAATCATGTATTCCCCAACGAGGGTGTCTTGTAAAGTAAAGACCAGGATCGTAAATTCGCTTCTGGCAAAGTAATCAAGCTTTTCGCTTTACTTGACAGTCTTAGGGCATCTTATCTAAGGATGCTTTTGGGATTTTGAATTTAATAAAACAAACGAACTAATTTTAAATGATAACATTTTAATACTAGCTTGCGTATCAAATGTAAAATTTTTGCTTATTTCTTCTTCTGCTTTGCTTCTTTTATAGCCATCATAGCGCGCCGCATTTTCTGAAACTTATTTGATTTTCCAAACCATTTGTTAAACTTCTCCATCATCTAAAAGGAATTAACGAAATTAGCACAACAATTTATTTACTGTTGCAATGTTTATCAAGTGTATGAACTGGTGTCAAGTAATATCTGTATTTACCCTTAACCCCAAAATGAAATTTTACCTAGATCTTTTAATATGTGTTTTAGCCCAATCGGATGGTAATGGAAAAAGTTTCATAAAACCGTTTTCCAATAATTTTTCAAATTTTAAGGCGAAATTTTTAGTAAGTCTGTAAATGTCTATATATAATTTAAATGGTGAGTATCACGTCTTCCCGTTTGCTTCGATCGAATGTTACAAAAATATGTTTAAAAGAAGTAATATAAATAACATAAATGTATATAATATGTTTGCATGCCTGACTAGTTTGAGTTTTGAATTAGTTGGGATTTTTACCTTTAACTCCGGCGGAAAAAGCGGTGGATCCAATTCAGTCAAAAAGTATTCCAAAAACTCCCGCGGATTCAATGCTTCAGACTTAAGGCGCATTTTTCTTTCCACATTTAATGTGTTAGCTATATTGTTAGTTATATCACCGGAATTATACGCTTGCAAAACTCTCGCAAGCGCAGAGTATGTGTAGCTTTCTAAATCATCCGCCGCATTTTCGGTCATCAATTCCAACCAAAGCAAGAAGCTGGTACCGTAGTCACATTTTGGAATAAGCAATATTTTTTGGAAAGATTTCTTTAGCTGTGGCTTGGCCGCCCACGGCATACTACTTGTGCCCAGAAGTACAATTTTGTCGGTCTTCTTAATTGGCTTTAAGATTTTTTTACCAATAAACGGGGCAAGAAGTGTTGGCCTACTATCTTTTAGTTCAGCCGGTACCTTTTTAAAAAACACGCGATGCGCTTCTTCAATATATATTACAGTAGGTTGAAATTCCCTTGCGACTTTCATAACGATATGTAGAAACATATTCATGTCATCAGCGTGCTTTAAAACTTTTTCTGGACTAAGATTTATAAAAACAGCATCTGAAATGATATATTCAATAATAAATGTACCCAAACAATCCATCAAATCAAGAACTAAAAACAGATTGTTAACGTACCCAACTCTGATGAAATGATATTGCACAGCAATTTCTTTCCACTGTTGAGTGGTCCAACGAGTAAAATTGATTTTGGTTTTGCTATATCAAACTCGCTCATTCCCAGCATACTCTCCTGGATAACCATTTTAATGTCTCCCTTTGCAGGTCCAATAGTGCTGAAATTAAAGGAGAGAGGATAGTTTAAAGGGGGCAAACGACATGAATATTCATTTTTTAGGAGGCAACCCTAGACCCGACTAGAAGGTACGCCCAACCAAGCGCCGCAAAGGTCTTACGTTAGGTTGTCTTCATCTCTCGTGTCATCCGCCGTAAAATTGAAGTCAGATATGAATTCATCAAAGTCTCTATGAGTAACTTCCTCAATGACACCCTCATCTTTAAGTTCATGATACAATGAGCTCAGAGTTCTGTCTGCTGTCGGATCCACTGGTTTCTTCTTCCTCTTTCCTTTTTTTTTCTTAGGCTTTTTAACCTTTTCGGGCTTATAGGGAAGTTTTTTATCATCAGCCAAAGCCTTTCTCAGTAATTCATATTCAACCCTAGAAAAAGGAGATCATTTTCTATTAGCGTTGAGATGCAAATTATAAACTGATAGAAAATATACAACAACAAAAATTAAATAAGCCAAAATGTTCTCGCATATAACAGATACATTTCACTAACCGCATATATTCATCTACCAACTCGCGCAATTCGTGATGTATTATATCTAATTGTTCTTCGGTCACCCAACTTTTAATTGGGTCATGATTCTTATTTAGATATTCATCAACATTTCGCCAATCAATTGAAAATTGCTTCATTGTCGCTTCAATTTTTTCTGTTAAAAAGAAAGGTGAAAATAGATTAGAATAAATTTGCTTTATTGTATGATTCAAGAGTCATATTTGATGAAAGCTTATCTCCAAATTTTGGGGTCTCTAGTTTTAATATAGACAAAAATCTTTGAAAAGCTTCCAGCATTCTAATAAGAAAGGTAATTATGGTGTGATTGGAGTTTGAGAGTCAAGATAGAGTCAAGAGTCTTCTATATCTAGTTATTTACAGTTAAACAACCCTATAAGTTGTGTCTACTTTATAGTCAGCTAATGCTCAATTATTCTGCAACGAGTATTAAGAAATAAATATATATAATTCTTTTTGGTATACCTATTGGCTTGCTGTCGGAAAGTATAAAGCCAACATCAATTATTCCGGCAGCCTTTAATTTCAATCTTCGCTTAGCTTCCTTCATTTTCTGTGATTTTATTTTATTCCTTATTTTCCTTTTCTCCGCTTTTTTCTTATCACGCAATTTCTTCATCTCTTCTTTTGTCATTGGTTTCTTGTTGAGAGATTCCTGAAACTCTAAGGGCGTCATGGTTTCATCGATGACAACTAACACTGTACCTTTTTTAACAGGATCCGGATAGTTGTGAAAATTCCCCGTTTTGTCATAGCTGTGGATCAGATAGAAAACGTTAGCTACAAGAAGGCAGTGAGAGTGCTCTAGTCGAGAGTGTCCGACTAGGAAAAAACCTTAACCCAGCTCCGTAAAATCAATTGGTTCTTTCTTTGCACAGCTCCTATATTCATTATTCAATCATTTTTATGTGTACTCATACCACAGCAGGGACAATATTCCCTTATTTAGATGTACTTACAATTCCTGGAACCAAGCTCGAATATGATCGGAAATGTCTTCCATCATCCAAGGAGAGCGCATCTGAAGAAGGCGTGTTCGCTCGTCCATAATTAGTTTTTCAAAATCTTCGTCAAGTTTCCTTCTTTTTTGTTCATTTTTATACATCTCTAGAACCGAATTTGCAAACCGATTTGGTCTCTTTAATCTTCGCGTTTTTCTAATGCCCAGCATTTCCCTTTTAAACTGTTTCCTAATTTTATAAATTTTTTTGGTTTTGTAGGCTCTCCACCAAGATTGAATAGTACGGGCCGCGTTATCTCGTAACTGGTTAATTCGCTCAATTTCACTCTCTGAAATATATTGAAAAATGTATTTATAAGCATTCGAGATACGAATTATCGCAATTTTCCCACCCACTAGTGGATGAGAACAAAAAGTAGTAAAAGTAACAGGCGCAGTTACGTCATAAGTAGCGCAAGGCACCGAAACGGGAAGAAACGAGAGCCCGTCATCCGTCTACCTTTACATGGGCGCCTTCCAGTCTTCCCAGAAATTATCTGCTAATCGAATATACATAAGTTCCTCAGATGAGTTAGACGCATCGGCTAAGGATGCCATAAATAAGCTCGCTGAACACTAGTCTGGCCAGAAACATCCTAATGGGTCTACCCGCCAGAACAGATCCGATGGGTTTTGGGTATCTTCTAGTCAGGCACTCCCGACTTAAGCATTCTTACATGTTTTTTAGTCAAGATCATGATTAAAAATATTTACCATTATGGGTCTCCTCATCATTTTCGTTTTTATCTCTTAAATCGTTACAGGCTTCGTCAGTCTTAATAAAATCTGCGGTGAATAAAGTTCTTTTAACAGGTATGCTCATTGCTTGATTCGGCTTAAAAGTAAACCTATAGGTAACTTTTTTTCTCTGCTTAACTTCTAGAAACTTTTTTTTGTCATATTTTATATTCGACTTGTAAACACGAGCTTGCCGTGCTCTTTCGTGTGCTTGTACAACTTCTACTGCTTCTGCAACTTTACTCCAGCTCTTTGCATCACTTTCTTCTTTTTCTTGATCGTTCATATACAGTTTATTATCTGATAATATGTTTTGAATATCTAATGGACGGCGATATAAGAATTGCGGGGACCGCCATATCATTAAATCGCGCGGCGTAAGCTTTCTGGCAATTAATACTTTGTCTAAATAAATATATTCGCTTAACTCCATTTCCTTTAGCTCCTCCTTAAGAAACATCAGCTGTTGGGTGGCATTTTCGACCAGCGTTCTGACCACTGACCGTTTTTGCACTTGAAATGTGTTAAAGTAGATAAAAGTGAGTTTATTAACAAGTTCCACATATAAGACGTAGAGCTCCGAAAATATTTTGAACGATATTGCTTTATCCTCAGGTGGTTCAATTATTTTTAAGCGATTTTGTTTTTTTAAAAGTTGGCCGATTTCTTTTGTAGTAGATATCCAATACTTGTGATTTAAATCAAAAGACATTTTAAAAGCACGTTATTAACATAAAACTTAATATGAAACATAAAATTTATGTATGTATGTAATATTTTGACTAATATATGTTAAGTATGCAATTTTTGTAACAAAGCACTCTTGATCAGAGTTTAAGTCTATAACCATTAAGTAACTCACATTGATTGAAAATACAAGGATCATTAGTGGTAGATCTGCCTTAAATTTGTATCTCGACAGTGTAGATTCCATCTTGATTAACCTAGTACTATTCCTTGCTCTGCCTCACTGTGGAAATATCCGAAAGTCTTCCTTGATTCCGAATAACGTTGAAATTACTTCAAATTTTTCAAAAGGAACTTGATATCACCAACAAATAAATTGCATGCTTATGAGCCTTAGAAATAGAAACAACTTATGAAATTATATATATAAAAACAAATAATATGCAACATAGAAATATATTTTAAGATATTACAATACAACTTACTTTTTAGCCACGATACACAACTACTTCGTATGCTTTCCATGGGCGCGGTCGTTGCTAGCAAAAGCATTTTGTTTTTGAAGCTTCGAAAAATGTACAATATGTATATGTATATTTGTATCAAACGCGATCATATGCTGTTGCATAGTACCGATTGGCTTAAACGAATTCGTGTGACATTTTTATAAACCACAATAGAATAATCGGTATGCGGTAATATTTATATTTTTAACAGTACAATACATCTTAACATTAAATTATATCTTGTTGTTTTTGTTTAGGGGATTTGAAACGGAACAACAACCGCCTCTCTGTGATCAATTTGTATTCCTAATACTCCAGCGTGAGATTTCTCAATAAATATTCTCATCTGAAAATAAAGAAATAAGCATAATAATAAATATCACAAAGCTGATTACGGGACTTATCAATTTTTCAAGATATCTTCATTTAATAGATTCAATATGCTTCTTCCATATAAGAAAAATGTTATGAACATTGGACCACTGTATCATATAGCTCATGAGAAAAAGTTGTAAATCTAATTATCTTGACCAAGTCCGGCATTTATTAGTTTCACTATGCTGCTTATATATGAGTCAAATTTTATTGAGATCGCACTTTTATATTATAGAGCTCTTTAGGAAGAATCGGACAAAAAGGGAGGCTTTGCAAGGCAAAATATTCTGTTTACACAGATATTTTCACCAAACTATCTACAAGTGTATTTAATCTTCGAAGATAGCCTTTTTTTTCTTAGTTTTTGAGGGAAGAGGAAGTAAAAAAGGTACAAGTATATACAAATCTGTGTATAACTTTTGAGCAACGTTTTTAAAAACGGGTATTATATTCGAAATTATTTCAAATTTTGAGTTTTTGGCTTTAATAGCTATCGAGAGGACGGGATCGGACATGGCTAGGACGACTTAGCTTTCGTCCTGCTCAAGAGCAATATATCCCGTCACAACACACCCAATATATAAATTACCAACTGCAGTCTGATGGTTAAATATATTGATATCTAAGTAACCAATTTTAAAATCTACACATATTACCCTAAAAAATTGATAAAAATTAATGAGAATACATGATTTACTAACCTGAGCTGTATCATCTGGATAAATGGCTTTAGACAAACATGTGTGATGGTTTGGTACATCTTTTAAAAGGCCTAAAATAAAAACAAACATTAATTGCAATAATCATTATATTATATAAAAAAAAAACAACAATATATATTTATGTGTATTCCCTTGTCACGAAATAAATAACTAATCCTAGTTTAAATCTCTGGCTCATATGGTATAGATGAGATTTGCTTACATTAGTTTTATCTACCTTTAAAACAGTTTTGTAATTATGTATGTAGTATAACTGGTCGAAGGGCCAGAGCTTTTTGGTATACAATAAAATAGATTAAATTTTGTGTCACGCACTTATGAGCAATCGATAGATAGAGATAGAAGCCGAAAAATTGGGCCTCACCGTTGGAACCATCAAGCAACAACTGTGAATAAACTATCTGGAACCTGTTGATTTATCTATCTTGCCAAATTTTCTCTGCGTTCTCTTTAAACACATTTATTACCAAATGACCAAACTAAAAATAATTTGTTTCATCATCTTACGCTCTCTCGCCATTTTGTATAAGTAATACTGGAATATCAAACCTTTTGGCATCACACCAGGGTGTTGAATGTTGTTCCACTGCTGCTGAAGACGCTGTGAGTACAGTTTTATTCTATCCGTGTACTCTTGGTGTTCCAATGTGTGAGAATCGAGCGCACCAACGTTGATCATGTTACTAAAGGGCATTATGATTAAATATTAAAACATCTTTGCAAACATATTTGCGTTGCACGTACATTGCAGTATTTTGCACCAATCTGGACAAGGCATTTTGGTCGTCTTTCTTTGGTAGCGACTGAGAACAATCATTGCTCAGATCAGCAGAGTTGCTTCGCCGCAAAGCTGGACTTTGATTAACAGAATCGGCAAGAAGATGAGTCCTTTCACTGGGTTCAATGCCCTAAAAGAAAGAATTGACTTATATCTGATCATAAAACTTAAAACATATATGACCTTACCTGGCTGCCTAGGTCGTCTGTACAGTGCCAACAACTACAAATAGATGCTAAGCATTCCAAAATTGAACGAACGTAATCCATATTAGCACTGTTATTGTTAAGAATTTTTCAGTGATGGAAAAAAGTTATCAATAGGGACACTCCCAAATATTAAATTATGTGGTCGCCCATATTCACTAATCGAAGACCTTCATGACCAGGGTTGCCCGTAAGTCAAATAGTACGGCCTCTCAATTTTGATGTTAATATATAAAACATAATATAATATGTATAAAATATAATGAATAATACATTTTATAATCCTACTAAAATTTGACTGTCACATTATTTGTACCCATATAACATTTTACATTTCTAATGGCACTGCGCACAATTATCGATAAATCTCAAACGAACACATGCACTTCCACGTCCAATCAGCTGATTTTAAAAACAAATTTGGATAATATTTTAATATATTGTGTACAAGTTCACCACCCAAAGATTAAGCAGAAATAGAGTATGATGGTTTGAAAAGTCCACCTATCCTGGTTCGAAATAGATGAAAACGAATTATCAAGTGCTGTTAGAATATCAATTTTGATTAATAATGATTTGTCGCATTTGTATAGCCGCATAATCAAACAAACAAAACCATACTTATCAGAAACTCATAAGGGGAAGGCAGAAACAGCACTAAACCAATGCGGGAAAGTGCCTGCTATTTGGGAAGTGGGACGATTATTCCATATATATCGAGTACATAAAAACACCGGATGGCATCGAGTAACTGTAATCAAAACAACGACCATGTTCTAAAAATCAATGGAATTTTATACTAAAAAACAACAAAAATGAAGTCAATCAATAACACAAAATAATAAACAACGCACTTATTGCGCATGTAATTATTTCTTGTTCATTAAGATAAGGTTCTGGACTTACGTTTTCCATTCGTCACAGACAACGCATCTCTCCCGGCAATAAAGCCTCGACTAACTTAATAAATAACATAAAATAAGTAATATGGTGTTTGTTCTGATGTAAGAGCACATATACATGCATAGAGAAACCTATATTCTTAATTTATAAAGCTTACTTTGCAACAGATTCTGGGTGCTGATATGGCTGCTAGGTATTGCCGCAACTATTTTCTTTTGCCTACGTCAATGGATTCTACGACACAAAAAAAAGTTGCACTGCCCTGAGTCGGAAAATAGATTGCATGTTGGCATATTTCATCCATACTGTAACGCCGGCGGCGGAGGGGAGCGCGTTTTGTGGTGTGCAGTAAGGGCGTTGCAGGTACAACTGGCTTATTGTGTTTGAGAACATTATTAAAAGATCTTTGTTTTGTTTTAGAACAAGTACGATAACATCAAGATAGTTATTTACACAGGAGATATTGACTCAACGCCCAATTCAATTCTGCAGAAAGCAAAAAATGTATTTAACATCGCACTCGAAGTTGAACACATATCATTTGTATATTTAAAGCAACGACATTGGATTGAAGCGGCAAAGTATCCACACTTTACTTTGCTGGGACAAAGTTTGGGATCAATTGCTTTAGGCCTAGAGGCTGTCTGCAAATATCCACCAGATATCTTTATTGATACCATGGGATATGCCTACACGTACCCCGTCTTCCGTTACTTGGCAGGCAGTAGGATAGGCTGCTATGTTCATTATCCCCTGATAAGCACAGACATGCTTAAGAAAATTCAATACCGCCAATCATCTTTCAACAACAAGGCATATGTTGCGCGTAATCCTTTTCTAACGTGGATAAAGCTTAACTATTATCGCTTGCTTTCTAAGGTAAGTGTATTTTTAAAAGTCGCTGACGCTGGCTCCGATATCAGCGTCGCTTCTTTTGCGTTTGGTTTTGCGGTGTTGCTGACGTGTATTAGTAAAGCGCAGATAAGAATATATTTCGGTCTGTTGGTGACTTTCCACGTGACATCGTAAAGAAGCATTGACAATGATATAAAATTATCAGTCCTCGTTAAGACAAGCTGTGTGAGTTTCTTGGTCATCCAGGTAACTAAACACGGGGAATCCAGTCTCGAATCCCGGACTAATTAAATGGTGGAGTGTTGCTTTAGAAGACCAATGATCAGTGCAACTAGTAAATGCCGAGTTTGAGCTTAGATATCATATCAGCTATTTGATATAGTTGTCAGATGCTGCTGGGATTTATTATGGGGCATGCTACATACACATAGTTCAACTAGGATATAGCGAGTTTTTTCCAGATAGTGGTCCGATGCGACCGGTTCCGGCATATGTACTACATGCAACAGATAGACGGACCTATGCAAAGTTTCAGGACGATGGCATGAAAAAAAGGGACTCGTTTGCATAGAAACAAAGAGACGGACATGGTCGGAGATATTTCCTATGCGTTACAATTTTCATGACAAAATTATAACACATTCTAGAAATGATTAAGAGAACAGCTGAAATCTTAAACCTATATCGCATAAATAATGTGAATAATAATATGAAATAACTATGAATGTTGATTTCTTGCTTTCTTTTTAGACCTACAAGTGGGTTAGTTGCTGTTCTGAAACCATTTTAGTGAATTCAACATGGACTGAAAATCATATCGTAGATTTGCTGAATGTTCCATTAAAAACTCATCGTGTGTATCCGCCATGTGACATAGAGCATCTTAAGAGTCTTGAGCATATAGAAAACAATGAAGAAATTCTAATAGTCTCTGTTGGGCAATTTCGACCCGAAAAAAATCATCCTTTACAATTGCAAGTTCTGTATGAGTTAAGAACGCTGCTGGCCAGAGATGAAGCACTGTGGAATCGAATTAAACTTGTTATAGTAGGATCATGCCGACATGAAGATGATTATGAGAGGCTGCATAACATGGAGGATCTCGCAAAACATTTGTCTCTTGAGAATTCAGTCGAGTTCAAGGTTAATGTTAAATATGACGACCTCCTAAACATTTACAAACGAGCTAAAATTGGCATACACACTATGTGCGATGAGCACTTTGGCATTGGAATCGTTGAATGTATGGCAGCCGGTATAATAATGATTGCTCATAGGTCTGGTGGCCCTTTGCTTGATATTATTGAGACTTCTGAAGGTTCCCAAAATGGGTATCTTGCAACGGAGGCGGTTGAATATGCAGCTAGCGTATTGAATATAATACTTAACTCGGCAGAGACAAATAAAAGTATTGTATATGCGGCAAGGTGCGTACTGAGGCATTTAATAGCGAAGCCCAAGTTATTATTTATCTTTTTACATTTAAGGTCCTCTGTTGAGAGATTCTCTGAAAAGGAATTCGACGACCAGTTCCTGCGGGCGATTTCGCCACTTTTTGTATAACTTACTGAATAACCGATAATGAACATGAACATCAATACGCTGACCGAGAATAAAAAAACTATACTTCAATGGAAACCAATCTCGTCATTTTGGGAGCATTCTAAGTAAATTTGTTCTTCTAACGAGGTTTGTGTTTTTGAAATAGTTGAGAGACCTATTTTTGCTTATTAATATGAATCAATTATAGGCTAAGTTCTGCAATAAGCGTTGTGACTATATTTCTCCATGTTATGTTAATATTTTAAGAGGCAAGCCAAATCTTAAAACTTGTAAGAGCGCTCTAGCTGAAAGTGACTGACTTGGAGATACACTCACAAACTTATGAACATATACTAAATTACGCATAAAAGATCCAAGCTGCGAACTTTGGACAGCGACTATAAATTTTCCCTTACAAAGAATCCGTTCCGACAGTAGTAAAATTTTATTGTTATTGAAATTTGTGAAACATAACTGCAGCTTCTTCCGATTATTTATATAGAAGCTAGATGATTCGATTGTTGATAAGAATTTGCGGACATACGAATAGATAAGAAGAGAATAGAGCTCATAGCTTGCTGAAGATATTGTATAAGCAAAAAATGTTAGAGATTTTAGAGCGAGTTATTACTAAAGGTGATACATGATACATACATAATTTTACCGCTGTCAATATTAGTTAAAATATATATTCTAGCTATAATATATATTGTAGATGATAAAGAACAAAAATTACAACACTGGATTTATTCATGGGTTACACATTGCGCCACAAAATGATAGTTACCTCCGTAAGAGTACACAAATTTCAATTGACAGTTTCCTCCTTAACGTTAGATGAAAACTCCCAACTCGGTAAACATGTACTTACATCATAACAGGTAACTACTGAAGGAAAAAACACGATCTCACAAAATGAAATATTTTCGCAGTAAAACTAATCAGACAACCAGCAAATCTCTTCCATTCCAGCTTTTCCGAGCATTTAAAACCACAATCATCTGCTCGGGTGTTCGACGCTCAATTACTAATTAACATAATCCCATAGCGTCAGCTAGTTAATGAATACTTATCACATGTTGATCACTTGTAAGTCAGTCAAACGGATTTATGCAAATAAATTTCAAAATTTTTAATCAAATTAATTTAAAGTCATTGTAGTCTTAAAATAATCAAGTATGCAAAATTTGTGGCCAGCTTGCTTTACAAAATTTAATGCTAAAACGTTCATTCCGTGACCATAGTACTTTGCAATGTATATTTTGTGCCGCTGTTCAATATCAGGTTTTTCGAAGCATCAAGTGAAAGTGATTAAGTAAAGAGAGTAAATATGACCAGCACAAAACAACAATGATCACTTAATTCAGCAACCCGAATTCGAAATACAGTTATTTTTTATTATAACAATATTATTTAAAAATGTCTGAGGTGTGGTTTTACAAGTTTACGTACTCAGTGATCAAATTTATATAAATGTATTTATTATACCCTAACATACATATATTTGTTCTTTAAACTTAAATCGTATATTGCACACTTCAAATTTCCGAAAAAAATTGCTATAGTCCTTCAATTTTCTTTGTAAGAGTATAGAAAAGTTCGTTTTAACAAGTAAGACGAACACTCGAGAGTTGAGCAAGAAAAACGGCTGAGGATTGAAAACACAGCAAAAGAGTTACAACACTTGCTCAGTGAGGGTTGGTTTTTTTTTGTTATCCCGAAGTTTGATTAGTTTGCATAGCATACAAAGTAAAACCACAGTGCCCTTAAGATATTGAACAGCTTTATCAACAAACACTTTAATATCTTTGGAGCCCTAATTGTTTGGGTCATAAGCAACATGGTATGTGATTAAATAAGGTGTTTTCAGATTCACATGTCAACATAGTTTTTTGTTTATTAATTGTAGACGAAGACAATGGATGAAATGCACATTAAAAACATTTTGGATGACAAAGAGGAATCATATATACAGAAGTTTTTTGATGGATCGAATATATTAATTACAGGAGGAACCGGATTTTTGGGAAAGAGTAAGTTAAACTTATTTTTTTATTATATAAGTACTCTTGCCAGTTAATTTGATATTTTGTTTAATAAATTGTCTCTTTTTCAGTTTTAATAAACAAGCTGCTTACGTCCTGCCCAGGCATAAACATAATATATTTACTTGTGCGTAGTAAAAAAAACAAAAGTGTAGATACCCGTGTGGATGAAATATTTGATGACCCGGTAAATAGACAATTTACAAATTTTAAGAGACTGCTTTAATCAACATTTTTTTTAGGTTTTTGAAATACTCAAAAGAAACTCTACAAAATATAGTTTTCATATAAAAGGCATTGCCGGCGACTGGTATATGGAAAAGTTACTCCAAGAAATTAAACTGAATATTATTTATATTTTTTTTTGTTATGAATCCACAGTCTGAAACCTGCCTTGGGATTAAGCATCTATGATCGGAAAATGTTAGTAGAGAATGTCAACATTGTCTTTCACATGGCTGCAACCGTGCGGTTTGATGAAAAACTAAAAACAGCTATTAAAATAAATGTTCATGGGGCATATGATATAATGAAGCTCTGCAAGGAGATGAAATCTCTTAAAAGTGTTGTTCATGTATCGACGGCTTATACACACTGTCCTCGAAAAATCATTTTAGAGAAGTTATACCCAACCCAAAATGATGCTAAAAGCCTTATGTTAATGGCTGACTGCATGCCCGACAAGCTGTTGGACCACGTAACACCCATGTAAATAAATTCCTTTAACTAGTAAAACCCGAAAAATATTTAAAAACAAAATTGTTTTCTGGATACTAATTTTCTCACTATCAGAAACTTTATGCACATCCATTGAATGATTGCACGTATGTTTCATAATAATTGAACTAAAACTGAAAATCACAACTATTTAAAAGACTATTTTCTTAAGTAGGTGGAAGTGAGAGGGTTTTTTTCATGACTATGTATAATAAGTTCTCTAGACATATATTTAACAATTTTCCTCACCTATTTCCAAACAGATGGGCGTCTAAATGTACCCACAAATATATCTGTTGAAAAATTGTCGTAGATTTTCAATCTAAATTAATCTTAATTTTAATCAGAATAAAGCCTAGCTTCTAGTCTATTACTGCAGAAATTAATACTTGCTATATTTGCAGTTTATTGGGAGAGTGGCCAAATACGTACACTTTTACTAAAGCTGTAGCTGAGGACGTCATTCGAACTTGGAGCGAGCATATTCCTGTTGGTGTATTTCGTCCTGGCATTGGTATGGGTATTGTGGGCTTGAATGTGAAACAAATTATACATGTAGTACTCCATTTATGTTTACAGTGATCTCAACATACCAGGATCCAGTGTGCGGCTGGATAGACAACTTTTATGGTCCAACTGGAGTAATAGCTGGAGCTGGTGCTGGGGTATTTTTTATTTTATTTTAATTTGTTTTTTAAACATTAATTGCATAAATGTGTTCTATATACTTTTAATAGCTGCTGCGTACCTTACGATGTAACCCAAAAGCAGTTGCAAATATGGTTCCAGTCGACTTATGTGTGAACAGCATGATAGCTGCTTCCTGGGATATATATGAGAGGCACAAGTAAGGGTTCTTCCTTAAAGATACATACGAACTCCTCTTAACGTTTATCATTGCTACAGTTCTACAAAGGCATCAGGCAATATACCGGTTTACAATTTTTGTACAACGAGCGAAAATCAGCTAACTTGGGGTGAATTCACAGCCAAAACCACAAAATACGGACTAATGTATCCAACTCTGACGGCGATTTGGTATCTGTGCTATTCAAATACTACTAACAGGGTAGCCCATATGATATCAATTTGTTTTCTGCATTACTTGCCTGCACTTATCATCGATATTCTATGTTTGTGCCTTGGAAAAAAACCACGGTAAGAAAGCAAGAAAATATAATCCTATGCCACTTCCAAAAGATTGATTCTGTAGGAGCTTTATGATGGTATCGATTATACATTGTAAATATGTAAGAGGCACAGCAAAGATCGTAGTTGTCAAATTTAGTTCAGATATCCCAAAAAGAAAAACAGAGGCCTTAGTGAAGAGTACCCGACTAAGAGATAACCTGCACAAATAAACAAATATCAATATTTGCAATACCTGCAGGATTTGAACCTGTTTCGGCTGTGAGTCACGGCGAATGATGGCTAATTGAGTTTCTTAGGGCTTTCGGACGACGCCGGATATTCTAATATATACTTATAATATATCTATGGCTACAAATGTTTTCTTTTATTGATGATATTTTAAAAGTAGCTCTCATACATTCTATATAAACCTGCTACAAATAAGCATCAGTGCCTTAAAAAGGCCTTTATACTGATCTATAATTGTCCAAAGGTTCATGATACTTTTGAATACAAACACAATATTGTAAAAATGAATAATGGTTATTGCAATAATCTTATTTACAGGCTGCTAAATACTTATAAAAAGATTCACAAGTTCATGAATGTTATTGCTTACTTTTCAATGCGTGACTGGGACTTTCATATTGATAATGTTGAAGACCTTTGGAACCGTATGACAAATATTGATAGGCACATATTTTTCTTTGACATGAAGCAGTTAGATTGGGATTTTTTTCTTCAACAATATTTTCGTGGAATTCGAAGGTATTTATTAAAGGATCCATTGGAAACCATTCCAAAAGCATTGATTAAATGGAATCGGTAAGTAAAATTTCGAATTAACATTAAATGCGACTGAGCACTAACCATTTTTATTGACAGCTTGTACTGGCAGCATCAATGTCTTAAAGCAATATTTTATATTATTATCTTTTATATTTTTTGGGTTTTCTTGAAAATTTCACTCGGCGTTCTTTTAGCTTAGATTCTCTGTCTATAAACAAATTACTCGTTTTTCATTTTTATCAATTACTTAATTAAAATTATACCAGCTGAATCGAAGATGTCTGGATGTCGGACTCAACAACAACAAGGATGTTAAAATATGTATTAAGTTTTATAAGCGTATGTTTTTAAAATGATTTTTAAAGGGAATAAACTGGAATTGCTTTTTTCGCGAGCTGAGATTTTTTCTTGGATTAGGAACCACAGACTTCGGACTCCTACAGACCCATTAGTCCTACACCAACGCACTAACCAATTTGGATTCCGAGGACGCCATAATGCGGTTGAGGAGGTTCACAGTGTTTTAAGCCACATTTCTGCATGAAGCATTCTTTCGTGCCGCAGTTTTCTGGACGTTCGTCAGGCTTTCGACCATGTCTGGCAAGAAGGACTATTTTATAGGCTAGCGGCTTCAACCTTTGTTAGGCTGGGATCAGTTTCGATGGCGTCGTTTGTGACTAACTCAGGAAGGCGACTACTTAGCGCGCTGCGTGGGTTTGAATAATGCTTGGACGGCGTAGGTACTGGTATTTCAGTCTGTCCAAGCATTCAGCTTTGTTCGCAGGCCTGCGGTCGATGGGGACGCTCGATCGACCCTACATTGAAACGTGGTCCCAGGCTTGTAGCAGGCAGTCTTGCACGGCATCCAATGCAGCTTGCAGGGATTGGTAAGATGGTAGCCGCGCAGGGTCATCAGCGATATTGATCCAACCAATGGAGGCGATGTCACTATTGCATAGCGTTTTGCCGAACACACTGCCTTGTGGAACGCCAGCTTTGATGCCATATATATACTCCAGAGATTTTGTTCTAGACGGCAAAGGTACGTCCGACTAGGATAGAGCTAAGGATGTTGGTCAAATCCAGGCGTCGTCTAAAGCCCTAGCTTAATCCCCATATCCGCCGATAAGATGCTCCTGATTGGGAGAGCCATATGCAGGGGTGCATCGAGCAGCCTGGATACAATTTAGACGCGGACTGACATCGCCCTACTTTACCCTGATCCGGTCCTAATTGGAGGGTCGTTCTTTCAGGGTTACGGTAAGGGCGGGAGAGGGCAGTCCCCACGCACTACATCTTCCGGCAGCATACTAAGGCCATTCTAAGTCTAGCCTTTCACCGCAGACATGTCTACTACTTTTGCTATATGCCGTCGACGTCGGCTTAATGGTCTGCGCTAGGTTCCCAGTTGTTGCTGCAGATACAGCTTAGGCCTAGATATCCTCAGCAACTTGGTTCGATGCTGGAACGTCTAATTAAGACCGACTAAAAGCCCCCCAGTATGCTTCACATTTAGACGAGGAGTGCCGACAGCTCAGAGGCTGAGCGGACTAACCTACTCCACAGAGACTTAAAGACCCCCAAGTTCGAAGAACAAATTGAAACCCATAGTGCCCACGTAACCATCTGCTAGCCGCACTCACAAAAAGGCTCGCTAGCAACCTTCAAAGGGCCCGTCTTATCAGGAGGTTGAGAAAGAGATCTTTTGCCCAGATATTCCCACCCAACATCAAAAACCACGCACACCCGCCTCCAGGGCGACGCGCTCACCTACCCTCAGGCTGACCACCTGATAGCGCAATGGCAAGATATAAGTAAGTGATATCCTAACAAAATTATAAATCAATCAAGTTTCTATACTATATGACTTCGTCTAATTATATCAATTTTTTGAGAATTCCAATATAGTCCGCAGTTTTATTGCCTCCCAAAAAGTATGCAGTGAATTGTCCGAAAGAGTTCCATATTTATTTCCTAGGAATTTGAAAAAGATTGAACAATAATCTTAATAATAACCCGATCCGATTAGCTAGACCCGAGCATAGGCAAGAATGAGTACCCCCGTTATTGACTATGTTCCGCAAATAGATATTAAATCTATTAGAGATTTAAATTTTGGCCCACAAAATATAATATGTAGAGATCTATCGAAAATATCGATGGGGTGACTATAGATAGTTTGAAAGTTCTACTAGAGGTAAGATTTTGCAAAGCTGATGCCTTAAAAGCGCAGCTTGTATAAATGTATAAGAGTATTGAGTACGGCTTTTCGGACTCCGATTTTCGGAGCTGTGCATCGAATATCGTACGTAAGTGGGTATTGATCAAATTGTTCGATTTGTCCGAATTTTTCTTTGATTAAATTTTATTAACAAATATTTAGACTGTTTTAAAAACATATTTTATTTCTTTGTATAATTTTAAAATATTTAAAAAGTAGATTACTTAAAAAATAAAACCCGGATATTTGTATTTAAAGTGTTGTAAAACCCTTGGTGACTTTTGACGGAAACACGTTGATTCACTTTTCTAATTTAAAAAAATCATAATACATAATAAGTGTGTACATATGCATTTAATATGTACTTTAAAATTACGGTTTTACAAATTTCCAATAATTTACACTAAACTAAATACATTTACAATAATTTAGTACTTATTAGAATAGATATTGTACCTAAATTTGTATTAAAAGTTGTCTTTTTTAAATACGAGTTGCTCTTGTGTTGCAGTATAGTCTATCATTTTTTATCGTTGTCAAGTTTACTTTTATCCAGAGACGAAGATACCATTCCGCCCCCATTCGAAGGGTACAATTTTTCCAAATAATTCAGTGATTCATTCAGAAATGTCTGTAAAGGTTTAATCATTAGCATTTGATATTATATCGTATTTTATATATACTACAAACAATTAAGAACATTACAGTCGGAAACTTGCGACTTTTAAATACTCTTAATCGACTATAATAATATATTTAACATCTTTTAAGAAGATATTACTTCTTAATAACGAACTATAGTAGTATTTCTCACAATATACTTTTTATATTGGTTTTTTTTGTTATGGGAACCGAGTTCCAAATATGTTTACCTGAAAAGCGTGCAGCACGGCTATTATTGCAGGTGAACCGAATCCGTGCGTTATTAAGGAAAAGTGTGTTAAGTGACGCTGCATTGAAGGCTCCAGCAAATGCTGTGATCTTGTCCCAAAGTGAGTGGTTCGATCTTGACTCAATATTTGCATCAACTCTTTTGTAATCTAGAAGAAACAAGTTTTAAGTAATAGATTAGTTAAGTAATCTGGCAACAACAACTACTCATCAAGTCTGCTATATCCATATCCCGGGAGTTGAGGCTGTTCGGTATCCAAACAGTGCAATATTTATACCCTGATTCCCTTAGAAAGGGGCTATGAAGGGTATAGCGTTTTTTTTTTTGCAATGAGTGTAACAAGAACAAGAAGAACTCTTCTATCCCAAAGAGTATTCTTGAAAAGGACGAAGAGTTGAGTCTATTCATGCCCGCTCTTCTGTCTGTCCGTCCGTTCGAGCGTGTCGATCTCGGTTACGTTAGAAGCCAGGTCTTTGATTCTTTTATTACCCTGAACTCATTGAAAATGGGTAAAAAGGGTATAATGTATTTGTGCAAATGTATGTAACAGGCAGAAGGAAGCATCTCCGACCCCATAAAGTATATATATTCTTGATCAGCATCAACAGCCGAGTCGATCTAGCCGTGTCCGTCTGTCTGTCCGTCCGTCCGTCTCAGAACATATAAGAGCGAGAGACTTGAAATTCTAAACATAGGTCCTCCTAGTGCCCGCGCAGTACGAGTTTGTTTCCGATATTCGATAACTTGCCCCGTTTCCAAGTAATCCATAAAATCGATATCGAAATCGTGTATATAGTAGTATATATTTATATATATATATCAAGTATCTTTCATTTTATAGCTATCACAGCCTCCCCGCTACTACCTCATAGCTATAAATCAAGTAAATAAACCAATTTATATTGCCCACCAACTAATGCCACAATTCGAATGCGATTCAGGGTATCCCCTAGTCGGGAGCTCCCGACTAGAGCCTCTTACTTGTTATTATTTAAAACACACATATTATACAATTGATATTTAAAAATATATGGAACCCCAAACTGCGAACTGAGTCTGGCAATCCCTGTTGAGTTTTTACCGGCGACTACTCGCTTGTTAGCCCGACGCTCAGACACCTAAGCCATTCAAACTTTACCTCCGTTTTCCACCTACTTTTGGTGCGATTTTTGTCACCGTATTAGATTTAAAAAATATATATATTCATTAAATATTGACTTTCAACAAAAGAACCTTAAGAACTTGACTTCGTAGTTAATTGGGTTGGTTGAAAATGCATACTTGTTGTGAGTGAAGTATAATTTCTTTCCGCCGATAGGAATCCTGTGGCTCGGTTTGATGCCGCACAATATATTCAGCCAATTGTCTAGCTGGAAACTCAGTTTCGCAAACGAAGTGAAAGTCTTTGGCCAAGTGCGTTGCTTCTCCCTCGACTAAAGATGTGAGCAGTGTCACGTTTGCTGCTTTTCGCCGTCCGGCCGGCAGGTTCAGGCCGATCTTCTCGAGCTTTTCCCTCAAAAGTCGGCCACCATTTTTGCTCTTTGCCCTGATTTGAAAGAAATGTATTTATTTTAAATGTAATTAAATGCGAAATGTCAGCTGTGAAGCCTTACCTCCTTAGCACACCACCAAGTAAGGATGCGTTCAAGCATTCGGGCGGCGACAATCTGCGCTGGACTTCCGCAATTGTTACCTTGTATTTTGATGTACTTGACAGAAGACTGAGTCGACCGGGAACTGCACAGAACACTTCGCTGGGCGATCCGGAGCCAATGTTTCCAGCTTCCTTCCCACTTTTCATGCCTGTGTAGAAATCATTTTATAGCAACCATTAATTTGGGCCCAAAGTATATAAAACGTATTGTAAAGAAAATGTTGTTCTTTGTGTTAATGTTTTCAAATTGAAATTGAAAAGTGTGAACTCAGCGTGTAAGGATCATTTTACAGTAATCCTGCCAATTAGAGGAGCCAGCTT